CTGTTTCATTTGATCTCAGATGAAGAAAAACGCGCTTTTCCTTACTCCTTGTGCTTTTCCCAGAAAGCGTTTTTAGTAGGCCTACTTGTAGGCCTAGGTAATTATGCAAAACCCAGGCCTAAATAAAAAATTAAAATTGTCATAGTATGTAACTCAAGTTAAAATAACACTTTTCATTACTCCTGCAGCTTAATCAAATATTATATGTCATTTTAAACGACCCATTGGTATTAACATGGTAACATCAATGTATCTGTCTCTTATACACATCTTTGGGTTCTGTAGACGTTTGTTGATGACCTTTTGACCTCCTGAATTCTGCAATGAGATTTTCGGGTCGATTCAGCCGAGACGGCCCGAGTGGAGTTTCATGTAAATGTTTCGTACGGAAAAAAAAATCGCAAACGGCTCGAACGACAAGCTTCCAAACGGCATTTCACAGACGCGTTTGGGAGCTTGTCATATAACAATAGTAAACGTGTTTGACCCGTTTCTGTCGTTGGGGATAATTTGTAGATCGCGCCTAATTCGTCCAAGGAATTTAGTGGGATTGTCTTTAACAAACTGAATTGGCTCATTGTCTAATGAACAACTATTATTTTTATCATTATTTTATAGGAAATAGCTCTTATCTGGTCTAGGGTGAAGCCCTTAGCCCTCGTACTGAATTCATCAAGAATTTTTTGATGATTATTAACATCACTAGTAATAATCGGCAAACGCTTTGGCAATGTGAGGGGATGGCAGAGAGAATTTTGTTTATCCCAACAAATTTTAGGGAGTGGCCTTTTGGGAGGGGTTGTTTCTCTAAATTTCCTATCAGCCAAGGCAGGTGCCAATTTTCTTCTGTAAGTGCTATCTCATTGGAGTGAGATTCTCCTTTACATGTGAGGTACACTGATCCATCATGTTTGAATCCTGAAATCTTCCCCAGGTACCATCCTGGCCTGGGAATACTTTGTTTAATGTAAACATAGGACACTTCAGGGGGTAATCTTTAAGAATTTTAGACAGGGAAATTTAGACGTCTTTGTTTTCCCTAACAACATCGAGAAGCGGATTAAAAGCTATGAGGAATATAAAAGGGGAGAGTGTATCTCTTTGGAAGATACCCCTTCGAATACTTATGTCTATAGTCTCCCATTTGGCACACTTAATTTTAACTTTTAAATTATTATCTTATAAAGATAAGAGCATATACAGTTCACAACATCATAAAAGTTCAATACACCTAGTTTAAAAATCAATTCGTGAGGGACGCTTCCAAAAGCATTGGCCAGAAACGTCACAAAGGCTTTAAAGTTATACTTTTCTGCATCTTCAGTTGAATAGCATTCAACGACTAAATGTGTTCTATTAGGCCATTAGTGCCTGTCAGGAAACCTTTCTGGACAGATGTTTCAATAATGTTGTTTGTCGATAAAAATGTTTCCAAGCGACCAGCGATTATCTTGTTTAATAGTTTTGAGATGCATGACGTCAGAGGAATTGGTCGAAAATTTGAAGGGTCATTAGTATTCCCCTTTTTATATATATGGCACACTTCACCAAACGACCACGATGTAGGTGGGGTTTTACCGTCTAGGAGCACCTTATTAAATAAAGTTGCCAAAAAATGATGGCTGCTTTGAATATGTTTTAAATATTTGTAATTTATTCCATCTGGACCCGGTGCTGACGACGACGATGATTTCTTTAACATATTTTTTATGTCCCGAGGTTTAATTGCTTCCAAATTAAACGGTGTGCTTATACACGGAGGTGTAATGTTAGATGGTATTCCATACGTTTTACGGTAATATGCATTTATCTGCCTTAAAACGATGGAATTTCGTCAGCATTATTGTTCATTGAAATACTCTTAGCGAAACAATAAGGGTCATTACGAAACAATTTTTCTTGTCTTACCGTCTGTCTTGCATTGTCTGCTTCCTTGGTAATAACATTGTGTGCGCGAATTACCTCAGCAAAGTTATTATGGCTCGGCCCATTTATATTCCGACGCTCGTTGTTCTTCAGTTTAGTTGCTTTCTCCCTAATCTTCTGAATGCGCCTTTTCCTATGTGGACCATTATTTTGTTTTTCATAAAAACCATGATTTAATAGTGTTGTTCTTAATACATTACCAAATTCAAGAGCTGCTGCTTTAGGTCCGATAATGTCTTTGCACAGTTCTGTGTGTATTGGTGAGACAGCGCATTTAAAGTCTGCATTAATTACATTCCAATCCGGCCGACTGGATTCGAACAATGGTTTCATTGCGAGCCGTACAGGTTGGATAAAAACGTTGAAGCACTGTGTTGATAGCCTAGCTTTAAGAATCCACAAAAAACACAGAATTGATATAAAAACACCAAAATTATAACTTAAAACATATTCTAGAGTAACCCTGTGAGTGCCAGAACATCAGTGTAGAGCTTACAGTGGGGTTAAACCCGGGATATTAAGGCAAACACTAAGAGCTGTTATAAGCGGTCGACTCCATTCGTCAGCCTCATTGTGTGTAAATGCTTAATTACACACAATACTGCCGATACTACCCACGGAGAAATAGGAGGTTTTAATTAATGCATTCTTTATTGCTTATAGGTCGAGGCTTACATTCATGAGATTGATGTGCACGATATAAATCCAATATTATACAAATAGATAAAGTAATTATCTAAAATGTGTATTTTTTTGTAGATTTTAAAGGGAAACACGGATCAAAACACCAACGTGACACAAATGTTCCAATCTACTATTTACACTCAATTCATCCGCATTTGTCCAATGGAATGGCATATCTACATTGCTCTAAGATTTGAACTTCTTGGTCCACTTCCAGGTAAATAATATTTCATTCTTTCAAAATTGCAATCAATCAGCTAGTCTGGAAACGAATGGTTTCCACATTTCAAATCCGCAGATGTTCTAAACGGTAGTCTCTTCCCACGTTATCACAGCGTAAAATAATAAATATAAATGAAATATAATATCAAGTTGTAATCTGCTGTTAGTTACACACATCAGGCGCGTCGGAAGCAATTTTAATTGGGCCTTCCAGATGCGACAATCTTCACCCCTCTCAACTCACATTGGTCTATGCTAGAGTGGGAAGGGGGGTGTGGTCCGAATGGAAATCATTTCGTTAATAAACTATGTCCTTACAGGGGCATCATATTCTTGCCAGTATTACGCAAGAAAACCTTACATTTACAGAGAAGATAATTATTTCTACCCACCTATAAGGTACCTAGAAAAACTCTTAATTAGGTTTGACATATCACGGAAAAATATAGATTATTTCAAGGTTTCTTTATTGCAGTGTTGCAGTCTTTCCAGAGACTTCCATATCACAGATAAATGGATTGTAAACTAATCATTGTGAGTGTGACAGATTATTATCGCCTGTAATTAAATAATAACATAATAAATAAACTGCCGATAAACTTCAAGCAGAACTTTGTAACATTAGAAAATTTATGTTATGGAATGGGTACCCTTTAAAAGTTGTTAACCATGTACTCAATAAATTACATGAACCTAAATGTATACATAGGCCTACTGATGATAGCTTGATTCAGATTTGGGTTAGATTGCAAAGAAACACTTAGTTAAAGAGGTAAAATTTATAACATTATGGCAGTATAAAAATGTCTCTCATTTTATATCTACTAAAGATCAAACCTTAAGGAATATTATATATTGTTAGTCTCAAAAGTGCTGTTGTTTTTTACTTTATACTTTCTTAAGGAATATGGAGCTCCTTTGTTTATCATCTTAAATGTCCAGGTTGTAATAGTGATTATATAGGAAAAGACAGATAGATGCTTAATAACTAGACTAGAATAGAATAACTAGAAAGAATATTCTTCATGATTTGATAGTGTTATGGTAGGTGAATCCCATTGGGAATAGGAGTTTATTTTCCTTTATAACCTTCCACCTCTATCTAAGAGTAAAACGGAATAAATAAAATATCATATACAAAATTGTTAGGCATTCAAATATGTTTTAGGTTTGCAAGGTATACTTGAAAATGATAGTGTAGTCTATAATGTAAGTAATAAATTAGGTTTAATATTTTCTAATACTAACATTATTGACAGTTTGCAAAATTAGACTATACAGTACTATTGTTTAAAGAAGCGTTTGCTCTATGTGCTGCACCATTGCTTAACAATGGACTGAAAGCTTCAAAGGTAGCTTTGATCAGTAGGATAAGAATACTTTGATCTTTAGTTTATTCATATCTATGTCACCCACTAGGGGTAATGTTTTAATTGATCAAACACCTTTGGTACTTGTGAGTATAAGCTTGCAAATGTAGATAATTTTCCATTCCTGATGATGACATAATTAATGTCAAAATATTGAATCCCGACACGATGGCGTGCATGTCGATACTTGGAGTATGTATTATACTATCTTACCTGAGATTAATCAGTGGACCTTTTGGTTTTTAGGCCTACACTATTTACGCTATATTAAAGGTGATTTTCAAGTTTGTATAAATGGTAAATACCACGCCATTCTTAAACTCTATTCCAGCCAGGAAACGTGAAGTCATACGTTTTCTCCCTTACTTTGACCCCGGAGAGATGCTTGTATCTGATTGGCTTTCACACAAAAGAGGTCCCAGCTCGCTGGTGACCCGCTAGCTAGCGGCTGTTCACATGGATCGAGAGCGAGCTGCATCGAGAGCCGCTCGAGAGCGGCTTGTCGTGGGTCACCCACGACAAAAACCGCTCTTGAGCGGTTGTTCACATGAAGGCCCTACTCGCGAGCCAATCTTTCGCTCGCGAGCGACCTAAGACATGTGAACGCGGTATAAGTTCACGGTCTGTAATCTAGAATTACAATCACCACAAACTTGTGATCTGCATAGAGTATCTGTGGTCTATGCTTTAATACAGACTATTCTACAAACAGGGGCAGTTAATACATATAGCAAAATCTAACTTAACACCGACCAATTTCATTGCTCTATGGCTACGGTCACACTAGAGTTCGTAATGTGACCGCATCTGCACCGACTCGCGCCTGACGTGACCTCGATCTCAATCAACCTATCTTGACCCTGGATCGACCCTGGCGTGACCGAGATTGACATTTCCTCGTCGGCTGTCGACCAATCACAGTCGATGACGCTGTTGCGTTTAGAAGTTCTTGAATTAAAAACCCCCGAGTTCTTCATGTGTGTTCAATCAAGACGCAATCATTACTTTTCATAAAAGTTAATTCAAATTTTAATTAATAATAATGCGATGGATTTGGATCGACCAGGAAACTGCTGACCTGGTAGATTTCTGGGGCCAACCCGAGCTGAGAGACCGGATAGAAAATAAAAAAACAAACAACAAAATGGGAATTTTTGGCGTGCTTGCTGACAGGCCAGTCTCTGACATGAGAAGAGAACGACGGCCCAAATTCAAACAAAAGTGAAGGCATTGCGAGCCCAATACAAGTTGATAAAAGATCAGTTGAAGAAGAGTGGTTCGGGCACGTCTGGTGTAAAATCTTTGATTGCGATCCACCCAATCACACGCGCGTATATCGAATCCCGTGAAACAGAGTTGGCGAAACTCTCTCTTTACGGCTCTGCTGTTTCGACTTTCATAATTTAGAGGTCAATCCAACTAGTGTGACCGACCCAGAATTTCCAGGCTTGAGACGCTAGTGTGACCGTAGCAATTTTTCCTAAACTTACAAATTATTTTTATGATTTACAGCACTGATTTATCCGTGTTAGATCTAAAAAGTGTCTCAGCTAGTCCTTACTGTGTTTGACAAAGTCAGCAGGGGGTTCTGGCCAGGGCTGGGCAAGTTGACCTTATTTACTTTGATTTCTCACTTTCATTTGAAAGTGTTTTCCACCAATTAACCTTACATAAATTAAAGTCTTACAGTATCCACTCCAGTCTTCATTGTTGGTTACAGCAGGGAGTTGTTATATAGTGACCGGAGATCCAACGCTGGCCTCTAAACAGCGACCATAGCCTAAAGGCACAATAAACCTATTAAGAACAAACGAACCGTCAATTACGAAAGCCATTTACGAGCGATAACAAGGCCTTTGATGTACTATCATACAGACCGGCTTCAACAGCGCAGCACCGCAGTGGGAGGCGAGGACATGAACAACAAACCAAGTGTCCGATGTTACTCCAATAGTAAAACCCTATGCGCAGTTTAAAGTTCATAGTTCAACTATTGTTCTTCGGATGCTCTGTTGATCGGCATTTCGCGGCCTATATTTCACCGAAAAAAGCAAAAAAATCCGATAATTTTTCGTTTGTCTGTACTCATACGAAAATATAGCTATCATTTATGATGTCTATAATATTAGATGATTTTTAAGCAAGATTGAAACAATTTCCTAACGGTTCCTATCGATGAAACCTCGTGTTGTTGGTGCGTAAACATGTGTTCGTACTCCTGCTACTCAACAATAAACTGTGCCCATGCGTGTTCGTAGAGAAAACCTCATTATATATTCGATGATTTGGCAGGTGGTGACGTCATTGAACATGGTTTTTGTTGGCGATAGTTCCTGTTTAGTGGCATAGGCCTATGTTTTACATGTATAGGTTTCATGGTTCGATCAGGGAGTTAGATTAATCCTGATTTAATGATAAGGAGTTGGGTGTGTGTGTGTTATGTTTTTTTATATTTTCTGGTGTTCCTCTTTTAATTAAATGTTTATAAAATTAGTTTTAATGCTTTACTTTATTATTTTCAGACGAATATTAGTGCAGTGTATTAAGCAATCCAACTAAATAATATGACAAAAGGCGTTATTGACGGAATGAATAACTGATAAACAGAAAAATACATAAGAAATGATATGATATAATGATTATCAGTATATTTATTTAGAAATAAAAATGAAATATAATAGTTTCACGAAATTACTTATTTCTTAGATATTATTTTAACGATGGATTCTATTTTACATTTTACCACTTCCAAGCAATAATTGTCCAATGGACATATGCGCAAGATGTTTATCTCAAAACACCTCACCCCCTTCCACCACCACAACCCACCCCTCATGCACTGTTATGTGCGGATAAATCTAATAATTTAACCCGATTTGAATATGCAATGTGTTAATAACAGGGGCGGTGCCAGCGTATGAAATCTGGGGTGGGGAAGTGAGTGGAACGGTACAATATGGGCGGAGGGGGAGGTCCCCGATGAGAACTAAGTGGGCATGGTCAGGCATCCGTTAACATTTTTCGAAAATGTGTTTCAAGGGAAAAAAAATATAACGATTTAAGGGTTTCATTCTTTCATTTAATGTAACATTTTGGAAAATGAAGAAGATACAAGATAATACGCATTCAAAATAATAAATCACTATTCTTTATTGATGGTATAATTCTCTGAATTGGAATTTGTGTCATAATTCTTGTAGTATCGTATACAGTTCTACTTCTTTTTGGTGTTCGTTGTGCCGCAATGAGTACCGAAAAGTTCTTGTAAGACGAGTACAGTAATGACAAACAAACTATCAGTATACATGCTACCCGACGGCAGCATAATTGAAAGGCAGCCATTTTTCGTTAAGAAGTTTATGAATTTGTAGAATAGGACTAGTCAACTCTTTAAAGTTAAAAAATACAGATTTCAGAATGGGTAAAACATGACAGCTCCCTGGTAAGGTGAGAGAGATGACAAGACTGCGTGCTTAAGACTGCTTCTTTGAAATTGTGAACGTTTGCATTGTCGCCGGATGTTGGCTGCATTTCGTCTCCATAATCCTTTAGGACTAGCCTAGGCCTAGGTCAGTATTCCTAGATAACCACTTTACATCGAAAAAAAAAAAACACACTAATGTTA